GGTCTTTTGCAGCAGATTTACCCAATGAAATGCATCGTTTGATTTCTTGACTGCTGCTTCCATGGGTGTTGATTGTGGATCCAAGTAAAATGAAATCCTTGACAACTTCAATATTTTCTCTGTTTATCATGATGTTGCTTATTGACCCAATTGTGAAGATTTTTTTTTTTCTTTACGTTGAGGTGTAATCCATACTGAAGGCTGCAGTCTTTGATCTTCATCAATATGTGCTTCAAGTCCTCGTCACTTTCAGCAAGCAAGGTTGTGTCATCTGCAGGTTGTTAATGAGTCTATCTCCAATCCTGATGCCATGTTCTTCCCATAGTCCAGCTTCTCGGATTATTTGCTCAACATACAGGCTGAATAAGTATGGTGAAAGGATCAAACTGATGCACACCTTTCCTTTAAACCACATAATGTCTATCCCCTTGTTCTGTTCAGACGACTGCCTCTTGGTCTATGTACAGGTTCCTCACGAGCACAATTAAGTGTTCTGTAATTCTTACTCTTCACAATGTTATCCATAGTTTGTTATGACCCACACAGTCGAATGCCTTTGCATGGTCAATAAAACACAGGTAAACATCTTTCTCGTATTCTCTGCTTTCAGCTAAATCCATCTGACATCAGCAATGATATCTCTCATTCCACGTCCTCTTCTGAATCTGGCTTGAATTTCTGGCGGTTCCCTGTCAATGTACTGCTACAGCTCCTTTTGAATGATCTTCAGCAGAATTTTACTTGAGTGTGATATTAATGATATTGTTCAATAATTTCTGCATTTGGTTGGATCACCTTTCTTTGGAATAGGCATAAACATTATGCCTATTAATCTGTACTAGAGAAATATTCACGTGGGTCGTGAAAAATCATGTACAGGGACATTACTTGCAGCATTTTTCGTATTGGAAACAACCTAAATGTTATCAGTAGTAAATTGAATAAATAGATCAAGGTATATCCATCCTACCATGAAATTAATGAGAAAACAGTATGCTCTGGAGTTCATTACATGTATGGCTGTATTTTTTTTAACTACTGAATAGTATTCCATGGAATGGGTATACTCTTAATTTTTTTGATGGCTTTCTTATTGATGGATATATGTGTATGTTGTCAACCAGAGATGACCATACCTAGTGTAGACCTGCCTGAGGTGCTTCCATCTTACTTAACAGGTATTTTCCAAACCCACATTCTCTTAAGACTTCATCATAGCAAAGCCAAGAATCCTTCCTTGCACCTATTACAAACGAAAGAAAGGACACATGGCGCAATCACAGTTTTGCCCCTGCTTTGAAAGGACCTGCCTTTGCTTAAATGACAACTTTCTAGAACCTATTCTTTTTTTTTCCAACTAACTTCTTCAAAGCTTCTATAAAAAGAGATGGCTAGCTTTCTCAAATTGAAGTTTTTGGTGTCTCCTCTGAATGCCAGGCTTCCTCCTGCAGCAATCTGTCTTACTCCCAAATAAAATCTCTGTTAAAATTTTTATAGCTCGACTCCAGAAGCTATCATTTAACAATGTAAATGTGTAAAACATGTGAACAGTGGTTATTTCCAGGGAATGGAGTAAATTTGATGGAAAGGAGTGGTTAAACAGAATTTTCATGTTTAATTCCATATGTACCTATTTGAAACATTCAAAACAAGAATGTATTGATAGTTCGTGAAATAAAATTTTTGGTAATAGGACTCAGAGCCTCAACCAGATTAAAATATTAACCAATAAACAAAAAATAACAAACCTCCCTCTTCATCCCTCTCCCAACTCCCATGACCCTTTCCTGCCATTCAGTGTGATGTGAGAGTAGAACCTGACTCTAGAAACCATCCTCACTTCCTAAAACTGCAGCAAGAATCCTTGTAACAAATATCTGAAAATAGGATCTTCACAAATTACATTGAGTCAAGAAAGGCCTATAATGGCATCCTTCAGGAACTAATTATGACATAGTGATAAGAGAATAGGAGCACTGGACTCTTTGCTTGTTATGGGTATTTTTACATTACAGGTGATGCCAGAGATATGGGAGATTATTGAATTCCTGTACAGTTAATTCTTCCATGGATTATATACTTTTTGGATTATTCATTGTACTTTGTAAATTCCAAAGAAATTTTTACCTACTATTATGCATTATTCTGAGCCCTCTACCCCCCTTAAATTGGTATTAGTTCACAGAATACAAGTTAATTTTCTATCAGCCTAAATTACTAAATCCTAACACACAATTAGAAAGGAAAATCCCTTGAGACAAAGGACACCTATCAAAGCCAAAAGTTACTCTTGACCATTGTAATCAGGGAAATAAATGAGAAACCAATGTAATTATCTTTTTAATCTCTAGAGAAAAATGTTTTAATGTTTTCCTTTATAGATTTCTTCAGTATTTTATAATTCTAATGTTATTATATATTCATTTTAAATCGCTCATTCTGTAATCTGAGCCCATTCTCTTTCGGGAGGCATCAAGGAAAGTAGATGAGCTAACCTCAGTCATTATAAATGTAATTCCTATCCTTTTCAATGTACAATAAAAATGTGGTAATTCTATATATTTTAATGTAATTTTTGTATGTATCTTCTTTTCACATTGATTTAACCTCCATACTTATTATTTTTAACATCACTGTGGTATTTTATAATAATAGCTGCTATGTCTACAGTGAGTCATGCACTCCGTTAGAAATTTTATACGTATTTTATTTACCCTCACAGCAACCTACAATGTAGATGTAATTATCTTTAACTTATAAATGAGGAATTTGAGGCTGAGAGAGGTAGTTAGTGGTGGAGCTAGGATTTGGTAATTTAGAAATAATAGAATATTGGGAGTGAGGCTCCCAATTCCATCATCTATCCGTAATGAAATATATCACACTGATATATTATAGTTTGCTTAACTGATCCGTACTGTTAGGCATTTTGGGTTGTTTGTATTTAGTACAGTGATAAAAATATCATGAAAATCTTTTTGTAACTGTATCATCCTGGGTCCCCACATAGCTTAGTCTCTACAGAGTCACATAAACCAACTGCAGTCGAGTAGACTCTGACTCATGATGAGCCCACATGTATCAGAGTAAAACTGTGCTGCAGAGGGTTTTCAGTGGCTGATTTTTTGAAAGTAGATTGCCAGGCCTTTCTTCCAAGGTACCTCTGGGTAGACTCAAACCTCTAACCTTTTGGTTAAGCAGCCAAGCATGTTAACCATTTGCACCACCCTGGGACTCCACAGAGTCACATAGCACTGTCCAAAAGTAATTTTTAAAAATCTAATTTTCACTTTGTCTTTCAAAGAAACATCACAGAAGATCCAGTTCAAAATGCATAACAATACTCCTCATATCCCCTTCTTTCCTTTCCCAATTCTCTCACACTCTGTAACTGCATGGAGATAGTTAGATTCTGAATCTCAAAACTCCCCATCAAGCCAACCTCACAGCTTTTCTTCTGTCACTTCACACGTCGCCCTTGGCTCTTGATCCTATAGGTCAATTCAGCTGCTTTGACTTGGGTCCTTCCTCTGGCCCTAGCCTTCCTGATCTTGCCTCTTTCTGCTCATTCTTCTAATAATCCATCCCAATAGATTTGGGAAGGAAGTTTCCTTTTATGTGAGACAGAGATATGGATTGTGCAGAGGTAGGGATAGGGAAAAATCAGGGAACATTCAGACGATTATAAAGTTTATTTCTATGATATTTGTGAGGGTTTTTTCCCCCCCATTTTAGGTTTTTTTTCTTGAGTTGTAGTCTCCAAAGTGAGATTCTTGGGTCATTGAGTAGATGTGTAGTAGGGAATAGTTTTAATCAAAAAATATTCCTAATTAGAAAAATACATTGTATGACTATAATAAAGTTGACTTATCCTTAAAAAAAAAAAACCCAAACCCGTTGCCATCAAGTCGATTCCGACTCATAGCAACCCTATAGGACAGTGTATGGCTGCCCCATAGGGTTTCGAAGGAGCAGCTGGTAGATTCGAACTGCCGACTTCTTGGTTAGCAGCCAGATGCTTAACCGCTGCAGCACCGGGGCTCCAGCTGACTTGTCATAAGGCTAATAAAAATTTTCTTTTTGCTTTATATACCGTTTTAGGTATTGTATTTTATGATCATAACTAAAGCTTATTATAAAATTCTGTTTTCTTTATAACTGTACTAAATATCTACACATGAAATGCAAAATACAACTAGCAAAAACCTCCCTATTTTTCTCTTACCTAATGGGCTAGCGAATGATAGAGAGGTTTAGACTTCTGGTGAAGTGGCTCATTCAGCTGGTAAGTGTCCCCTTAAGAGCTTTTCTTTTGGTTTTGGCCAGTCCTTAAGTTCTCATGTTTGGTCCATCTTTGTTCTTGGGGTTTGGGATAATCTCTGGGGAAAATTGTGAAGTAACCAAAGCTTTGTTTGGTACGTCCTGCATTATTTGGTGTTTACCTCCTCTCTCTGGCGCCGTTCCTCCCTTATCAACCTTCTTCTCCAAACGTATCATTCATTTTTATATATTAGTGGGAATTTAACTCAGTACTATGCTCCCTTTGTCAGGGATGTCTGCATTCTATACCTTTTCTTCAATAGTGAGTGCAAGGATTTGTTTCTGGTTCTGGAATTTTAAACACTGATGAGCTATATAGAGACTATTTAGGAGGGAGGGTTGCTGAGGTGGCTTTTCTTGAAATTGTATTTTATAAGTATGCATTTTCTCAGCCTATAAGTAAGATTAGTCCCAACTTACTATTCTTATGTAACTGTCAGTTCTGAGATCAGATGCATTTATGTGTACACGCATAGTTCTTGCACATGCTCACAAATACAAATGTGAGAAAGGATAGCTAGGTGGCAAAACATGGAATCTAGTAGTTTGGGAAAGAGATACAAGAAATTCACTAGAAATAAATTACTAACGTCACTTTCTGTGCCATTCTTATCTCTTCCTCATAATGAATTTCCAGTATCAGACTAAACTTGGAGCTTTTTGTTGTTGTTTTTTCCCAGTTTGACAAATGGACGGACTCTCAAAGGAGAAGGATCCTGACAGGCCTCTTAGAACGCTGCTCCCTGTCACAGCAAAAGTTTTGCTGTAGACAGCTTCAGGAAAAAATTCCAGCAGAAGCCCTGGATTTTACTACCAAGCTTCCAAGGGTGTTATCTTTATACATCTTTTCTTTCCTGGACCCTCGAAGCCTTTGTCGTTGTGCACAGGTAAAGACCAAAAAAAGCCCACTGCTGTCGAGTCGATTCTGACTCATAGCAACCCTATAGGACAGAATAGAACTGCCCCAGAAGGTTTCCAGAGAGTGGCTGGTGGATTCAAACAGCTGACTGGTTAGCAGCTGAGCTCTTAACTACTGTGCCACCAGGGCTCCAGGTAAACGCAAAGAAGTGGTATATGGTATTTTATAAGGACAGCTTAAAAAAATAATTTGCCATTGAGTCGACACCAACTAATGGCAACCCTGTGTGTGTGAGAGTAGAACTGTGCTCCATAGGGTTTTCAGTGGCTGACTTTTCAGAAGTAGATTGCCAGGCCTTTCTTCCAAGGCACTGACCAACCTTTAGGTTAGCAGCCGAGCATGTTAACCTTTTGCATCACCCAGGGAGGGATAGCATAGACAACTCTAAAGCTTGAATAACTTAAGAGAAAAACCACATTCACCAAACCAAGAAAGATGAGATGGTCAAGTAGCATGATGTTTAGTCTGTATGTCTAGTTCTGTATTTAGTGCTTTGTGTCTAGTTCTGTATTTAGTGCTCAAAGGGGGAAAGCAAGTATAAGACACCAGACACCCATTGCCTTCAAATCAGTTCCAACTCATGACGACCCAGTATGTTACAGAGTAGAACTGAGCTCTGTATGGTTTTCTTGGCTGCAATCTTTACAGAAATAGATCGCCAGGACTTTCTTCCATGGTACCACTGGGTGGGTTCGAACTGTCAACTTTTAGGTTAGAAGTCGAGAGTAAACTGCTTGCACTACCCAGGGACCTAAAACACCATCAGTATCCACATAAAAGTATTAGCTAGTTGGGGAAGTAAATAAACACGTAAAAGTGTTCAGCACAGCATGCAACTACAGTAAAATCCTAGATCATGCTGTTTGCCGTCAAGTCGATTCTGACTCACAGCAACACTATAGGACAGACTAGAACTGCACCAGAGGGTTTTCTGGGCTGTAATCTTTACGAGAACAGATCTCCAGGTCTTTACTCCCAGGGAGCCTCTGGTGGGTTCGAATCACCTACCTTCTGGTTAGCAGCGAAGTGCTTAACCACTGCACCACCAGGTCTCCTAAGTTGTGTAGTGTTGGCCACTTATAACTGGAAAAGCTCATAATAAATGCTAATAAGATAATATGAACAAAAGAATATGAAACTATAGAGATCAGAGTGAGCAGGCATGGTCACAGAAGCCTTGGAAAAGAAGTTGACCATTATTTTCTTACAAGTAATTCCATGGCATATTAAAATGAAGTTATTTAGCTATAAAACTGGTAATCATTTTACTGAGTCTTTTCATAGTGTAAGACCATTCTAGTAAGACCAGAAATTACCTGCTACTGTGTATTCACATAACATGTGATGTGTTAACTTTAGTTTTTTTAATTAAAAAATGAACAAATGGACATGCGGAACCCAGGGTGGAGAGGGAAAGAGGGAGAGTGCTGACACAGTGCAGGGATTGCAACCAATATTGCAAAACAAGTTGTGTATGAATTTTTGAATGAGAAACTAATTTGGGCTGTAATCTTTCACCTAAATCATAATAAATTTTTTTTTAATTAAAAAATGAATACAGTAAGAAAGATGGATTATTCAGTAAATGGTGTGGGGACAATTGGGCAGCAGTCTTGGGGGAAAAATCCAGTAGGATATAAAGATTTATATGAAACCGAAAGGAACCATTAAAATACTCAAAGAAATATATACAAGTAGACCTTTGTAAGTATTCTACAATACACAGAAGCCTTAAAAGGCAGTATGCAACCTAGAATCTTGCTTTATTCATTTTACATATCATAAGCAAGAATAAAGAAAACAAGGTTTTAAATTGTTACTTTATAATAATTAAGTTTTCCCATGGAAAAGAATATCATAAATAAATTCTAACAGTAAATAGGGAAAAATATATTGCAAACAAAGGGCTAATTTCCTTATTTTTTTAAAGATATCCTAGAAATCTCTTTAAAAAGGCCAGTAAGCCAGCAGAAAATTTAACAAAGGAAATGTACAAGAACTTCACAGAGAAAGAAATATAGATGTCTCTAAAACATGCAAGATGCTTAGCCATGCTATGACATGCCATCTTTCCTGAATCAGAGTAACTGAGATTTTTTTAAATGATAATATTCTATATTGGTGAGGATATGGGAAAACAAGAACTTTCATATATTTTTAGTAGTTAAGTTGATATAGCCACTGTGAGAACAATGAAAATTTTTGAATGAAAACTCCCTTTGACCCAGTAGTTCTACTTTTTGGAATTTGATGGGTATACTTGAACATGTCTAAAAATTATGTCTGTAGAAGAATATTGCAGCATTGTTTGTAATAGCAAAAGGTTGGAAACAACCTAAATGTCCACCGTGAGGGGACTGGGTAAATAAAATGCAACTTTCTCCAAGATAGATTATCAGTGAAAAAAATAAGATACAGAGCTGTGCTACCATTTTGGAGAAGAAAAAAAAAAGAATATATACATTCTTTTATATATATACACACACACATATATATAAATATATGTACACGTGTGTGTACGTGTATATGTATTTATATGTATATATGTTTGTTCATACGTGCATAGAATGTTTCTGGAATGACACAAAAAACTGATAACAGTGAAGGGGAACTGAGGACAGAGATGAGAGAGAGATTTATTTTTTACTGTCTTTTGTATCTTTGAATTTTGTATTAACGTACACATATTGCATATTCAAAAAGGAAATACATTTTTAAAAGAACATAGCAATCTAACAAGAGAGTACCATACAGCCCAATGATGAATTATTATGCAACCATTAGAAAACATGTTTTGGAAGAATATTGATAACAGCAGACCTGCTTGTGATATGTAAAATGAAGATAACGAGATTTAAAATTATATGTATCATCTTCCAGGTTTGTTTTATATATGCCTAGAAAAAAGACTGAAAGGAAAAGAACCCCACTATATTGTTAATAATGGTCATCTGTGATAGATGGGATTCTGGGCATTGTTTTTCTTTAAACATTTCAGAATTTTACAAGAGTTCCACAATAGAATATTATAATTAGAAGGAAACTTGATTTGAAAAAATAATGCTATCATCTACATGCACCATGGGTCAATATTGTAAAATCGCAGCTTTGTATTTTATTCCCACTACTGTCCCTGGGTGGCATAAATGGTTTAGCCCTCTACTACTAGCTGAAAGGTTGGCAGTTCGAACCCACCCAGAGGCGCCTTTGAAGAAAGGCCTGGAGATCTGCTTCCAAAAGGTCACAGCCTTGAAAACCCTAGGGAGCAGTTCTACTCTGCATGCATGGGGTCGCCATGAGTCAGAATCGACTCAATGGCAACTAACACCAGTAACAATAACTGACTGTAAGGAAGACCCAGGCAGTTGTTCTTCAGCTAGATTTGAAGTAAATGTCATTGCACTAAAATGAGCTTTGAGCTGTTAAAGAAGGGGCATGTCTTATGGTTTTGAAAGCTCTTGTCTACCTCCAATTCTCCTCATTCCTCTCTACCTTAAAAAACAAACAAAAGAAAAATGCAAAAAAAGCAAAAATGAAACACACAAAAACCTTATCAGCCATGGAAAAAACCTACTTAAGTTCCCAGGCCAAAACAAAATCTAAGGAAAAGGAGGAAAGGAGTGAGAATTGAGAACCCCCACCCCCAACCCCATCTCTCCATTAAATTCTGAATTAATTTGCCATGGATGATGTGTGGATAGTGAGGGCCATTATAAAGTGTTCTGCCTTTTTTTTTTTTTTTTTTGGCACTCAAAACATATCAGTTATTTAATATGGGAAAAGAGGCCAGTTTTGCACGGGTGAAATTCTATAAATTTGTGTTTGGCAGTTAGGAGATGTCTTCTTTGTAACTCTTAGAGCTAAGACAGAACCTCAGGTGTCAACTTTATGTATTAATTTGCCCCTAGTTTCCAGCAAGACTTATTCAAAACCTGGGATAAATTACTGAAAATACTGCTGCACACAGTAGGGCCACCTCCACCATTTGCTGGATGTGTGGCATTAACAAATGATGGAAATAGAATGTACAGAACAAATTTTTTTTTCAGTTTTTTAAGTTGTACTTTAGATAAAGCTTTATAGAACAAATAGTTTCTCATTAAACAGTTAGTACACATATTATTTTATGACGTTGGTTAACAACCCCACAACATGTCAGCACTCTCCCTTCTCAACCTTGGGTTCCCTATTACCAGCTTTCCTGTCCGCTTCTGCCTTCTAGTCCTTGTCCTGGGCTGTTGTGCCCCATTAGTCTTGTTTTGTTTTATGGGGCTGTCCAGACCCTGGCTGAACGGTGAACCTTGGGAGTGACTTCATTACTGAGCTAAAAGGGTGTCCGGGGGCCATACTCTCAGGGTTTCTACAGTCTTTGTCAGGCCAGTAAGTCTGGTCTTTTTTTGAGTTAGAATTTTGTTCTACATCCTTCTCCAGCTCTGTCCAGGATCCTCTGTTGTGATCCCTGTCAGAGCAGTCAGTGGTGGTAGCCAGGCACCATCTAGCTGTACTGGACTCAGTCTTGTGGAGGCCGTGGTAGTTATGGTCCGTTAGTCCTTTGGACTAATCTTTGCCTTGTATCTTGTTGTCTTCATTCTCCCTTGCTCCTGAAGGGGTGAGACCAGTGGAGTATCTTAGATGGCTGCTCACGGGCTTTTAAGACCCCAGACGCTACTCACCAAGGTAGAATGTAGAACATTTTCTTCATCAACTATGTTATGCCAGTTGAGCTAGATGTTCCTCGAGACCATGGTCCCCACAGACCTCAGCCCAGCAATTCAGTCCCTCTGGGAGTTTGGATGTGTCTATGGAGCTTCCATGACCTTACCCTGAACAAGTAGTGCTGGCTTCCCCAGTATTGTGTATCGTCTAACCCTTCACCAAAGTTACCACTTATCTATTGCCTATTTAATGTCCCCCCCCACCCTGCCCCGTAACCATCAAGGATTGTTTCTTTTTATGTGTAAACCTTTTCATGAGTTTTTACAGTAGTGGTCTCATACAATATTTGTCCTTTTGTGATTGACTTATTTCACTCAGCATAATGCCCTCCACATTCATCCATGTTAGGTGATGCTTCACAGAGTCATCATTTTTCTTTACCATTGCATAATATTCCATTGTGTGTATGTACCATAGTTTGTTTATCCATTCATCTGTTGACGAACACTTAGGTTGTTTCCATCTTTTTGCTATTGTGAACAATGCTGCAATGAACATGGGTGTGCATCTGTCTATTTGTGTGACGGCTCTTACTTCTCTAGGATATATTCCTAGGAGTAGGATTGCTGGATCATATGGTATTTCTACTTCTAGCTTTCTAAGGAAGCGCCGTATCTTTTTCTAGAACGGTTGTATCATTTTGCATTCCCACCAGCAGTGCATAAGAGTTCCGATCTCCCCACAGCCTCTCCTACATTTGTTATTTCCAGTGTTTTTGATTCGTGCCAGTAATGCCAGGGTAAGATGATATCTCATTGTGGTTTTGATTTGCATTTCTCTAACGGCTAGTGATCACGAGCATTTCCTCATGTGTCTGTTGGCCACTTGAATGTCTTCTTTGGTGAAGTGTCCAGAACAAATATTTTATGCTCTATTAAAACCTAAAGGTTAGATATGACATACCATATAGTGTTGTAATTGTGTTTCATCTGTAAGTGTATATTTAGTTAAATCATGAGAATGGTGGAAAAGGAAACATAACATGAAAAGAATAAGCAATGTGCAGAACTGAGTTTATATAACCTTCCTGTAACTTTTATATGACCTTCAGGAACCTTCAGGAAGTTCCAAATTCTGAGCCTCAGTTTCTTCATTTGTAAAATGAGGGTGGTAATTATACTTGCCTTCCTAGGTGGCTAAGAGATGCTCAATAAATTAGTTGACTTTGATTCTAAGTCTGAATTAGCATTTAAAGTAAATCATGCTGCCTGGATAGGAAGCACTTTAGGTAAGAGGTAACTGTTTAAACTGTGATTTAGAGAAAAAGAACAAAAAAGTTATCTCAGATACAGGGTGACAGCTCAAAATCTAGAAAAAGTAAGCATGCAAACAGAGTAGGTTTGTTTGTTTTTTAATCATTGTTGTTTTTCCAGGTGAGCTGGCATTGGAAGAATTTAACTGAGCTGGATCAACTCTGGATGCTCAAATGTTTACGGTTTAACTGGTACATCAATTTCTCTCCTACTCCCTTCGAGCAAGGTATATGGAAGAAGCACTATATTCAGATGGTGAAAGAGCTTCATGTTACCAAGCCTAAGGTAAGTAAGAGGCAAAAAACAAACTTACTAAGAATTAATTATCAAACTTGAAGTTGGGGAAGGGAGTTAGTTCAAAGGAAATACTCTATGACTTCAAAATTCTCTTTTTCTGAGAACTTGATGGCCCTTTTAAAGATACTCATGTCAGCTTAGAGCCCTTTTCCTGACACCCCCAAACCATGGTTCCACCCAGGAGTTTAGAACTTTGGAGCATCTCCCTCTGTCTGGTTTCCTGTCTTTCTGTAACCCTGGCTCAGACACCAGGCGGTCTGACACTGGGACTCTGGATAGTATGCAGTATCTATGGGTCATCAGATTTCACTTTACTGATTCAAATTTTTCATAATTCCACAAGATGAGCTGAAGTTTACTTTTGCAGCAGTTTTAAGGAAAAGTTTACCTAATAAATTTGTAAGTACACAAGGTCATAATGTACATGTTAAAGTTCTTTTAAAACTAAAAACTAAGCAATCTAAAGCATTTATATTATAATCATAAAAGTAAATAATACAAGAATAATTTTTCTAGTGGCTTTCCATGCATTATAACCAATATTTATGTTCATTCTTATAGTCGTCATTAATTAGGTAACATGGGAAATTTTTGTGAGCCTTTTCTCTACAACATGCAGAGTTCTGTATGCATGCAGTTTCACATCATTTTATACAATAGATGAATTCCTGAAAAACTATGTGTAAATTAAATTTTTTTAATGATTTTCAAAACCACAGGGGTATTATATTCTATGAAAAAACTGCAGCAAATCCTTTAAAATTGAAGAATTGTTTTGTAACATGCATAGCCAATTCCTAACTTGCCCATTTAGGTTTAAGTTTTATTGTGTTTTCTTAAAGTGGAATTCGTCTACATTTAATATAGTAGTAAACTATGAGTAATTAATATTGTTACAGTAGCATGATAAACTAGTCTTTTTGATTTCAGTAATTTGTGTGCTCTTATGAGAATTTTTTTAAAAAAGAAAAATTGAAACTGCAATGATAGAAAAGTTCTTTGAGAAATTACTGTAGCCCTGACTTCTTACAAATCTTTTCTTGCATCTCAGTCTCAATTGGAGCAGGGAGTAGCATTCCATAGCTGAAGCTGAGGCTGTTGTGGAACAAAGGAGAGAAAAGTGATTAACCAAGTTTTAAGGTTAAAAGAGGTTTTGAGTATTGTATGGAAAACTGACTTTAATAGTTTGTCTTAAGCAACAACTTTTCCTGTAAAATATTTATGCATAAATATATTTAAAATAACTAATAGCTCTGATGCAAGAAACTTTTCACCTCTTTGGCATTAGAATTCTTTAAGGGGCAGAACCAACATGACACTATAGACAGAAGCACCATGCTGTCCCTCTATAGCAAAGACATGAAAAACTAAGTAAAACAGATAACAAACATCAATCCTGGAACCCTAAGCATCAAATGAAGGGATAAAGAACTCGATCAAGCAATGAATGGAATAAAAAACTGACAGAGAACAGAGAACGAGGAGAGCTATGGAGTGGAGATCCCCCTACTAGCTAATGCAGCACAGATTCGCCATCTTGGACCTCAGCCACCAAGAGCAGTGGATAGGGAGTCCGGGAAGGCAACTTCACGGAGCTCCCAACAGGAGATGGAGCACCCAGTAACCAAGGATACACACTTTCCAACCCCCCACCCTTCTTCCCTCTACAAGGCCTCCACTGCTTTCTAACGGGTCACGGTCCCTTGACCACAGAGACACCAGCTCACTGCATCCCGGGTCCACCCCACCCCCACTGGTCAGCTCCTTCAGCACTATTTTTTTTTTAACTATTTTTTTGGCTTCTTTTTGTTTCTTCTCTCTCCCTTCCCTCCTTTTCTTTCTCCCACACAGCTTACTCCGTGTGCCATCCCCACCCCTTCTTGATGGGCTGTGCCACACCGCTCAGCTAGAGAGCCACCAGCATACAGCCTTCCCAGGTCTGCCCCAACCCACTGGCAGGCTTCCTCAGCACCTTTTTTTTTGTTGTTTGTTTGTTTTGTAGTTTCTTCTCTCTCTCCCTACCTTCCTTTCCCTTTGCCCACCCAGCTATCACCATGTGCTGTCCCTGTCCCTTCTTGATGGGCTGTGCCACACCACTCAGCTAGAGAGCCACCAGCACACAGCCTCCCCAGGTCTGCCCCAACCCACTGGCAGGCTCCCTCAGCACCATTTTTATTTTGTTATTTTTTCGGCGTCTACTCTCTCTCTCACTTCGTTCCTTTCCTGTCTCCTGCTCACCTAGCCCTGTGTGCCATCCCCACCCCTTCTTGATGGGCTGTGCCACACCACTCAGCTAGAGAGCCGTCAGCACACAGCTTCCCCAGGTATGCAGCATCCCATTTTTGTTTTGTTATTTTTTAGGTGTCTTCTCTCTCTCTCCCTTCCTTCCTTTCCTTTCTCCTGCCCAGCTAGTCCTGTCTGCCATCCCCACTCCTTCCTAATGGACTGTGCCACACTGCTCAGTTAGAAAGCCTCCCTGGGTCCACGCTACCCCCACTGGCGGGCTCCTTTAGTGCCATGTTTTTTGGTTTCTTCTCTTCTCTCTCTCTCCCTTCCTTCCTTTCCATTCTCCCTCCCAGCTATCCCCATGTGCCATCCCTACCCTTTTTTTTTGTTTATTTTATTTTTATTGTACTTTGCGTGCAGGTTTACAGAACAAATAGTTTCTCATTAAACGGTCAGTACACATGTTGTTTTATGACATTGGTTAACAACCCCACAACATGTCAACCCTCTCCCTTCTCGACCTTTTTTTTTTTTGGTGAAAATACACATAGCCAAAGATACACCATTTCAAAAATTTCTACACGCACAATTCAGTGACATCAGTTGCGTTCTTCCAGTT